CACCGCGTCCTCCCATCATCCCAAGAGCTCTGTCGCTTTTTACCCACCGCAAAGGCTAGCTCTTGTACCGAATCAGCAACCTGTGTGACCCTGACCTGGTGTCTTATTTATCATGCTGTATTACAGTAGTGTCTGTTCACATGTCTGCCTCACTCCATGACCGAGCACATGTGTCCGGCCGGGACCCTGCACACTGTCACCCCTGCACAGGGTAAGAAAGACCAATCTTATTTTTACCAACTTTTGGGTCAGGCTGAACAACACTTATTTACTCAGCAGGTGTTTTGGATTTGGATTCTGACAAGGAACTCACTCCCTACAGAGCTGTTTAGCCTCACCTTTTCAGAGTGGAAGGACTTATATTGATCTAGTCTGGGTACAACCACACCCTGTAGGAAGTTTGGACCTCTGCCTTCTCCTCCTGCATTTTATGGTGCTGGGGAACCCAGAGATGCTACACAGATGTTAGATATACTTTATTGCATGTCTTTAGGAACAGATGTGTAAGCCCAGCACTCTGGGAGGCTGAAGCAGGAGGATCACTAGTTCAAGCCCAGCCTGAGAAACTTAGCAAGTTAGTGATACCTGTCTCAAAAAAGGGGTGGGGGAGAGGAAAGCAAGAAAAGTCCATGTTAGAAGGTCTGTATCAGGCCTTGCTCAGCTGAGCCCAGTGGATAGAGCTTGTGACCATGCTGTGCTGTCCTGGCCTGAAATACAAGTGTCAGGGACAGAGCTCAATGTAAAACAAATAATTTTAGGTGTATACAGTCAGTCTGCAGAAGAGCAGCCACTCAGAGGAAATCAGCATCTTACTGGAAGCTTTTAAATAGCCCCAACCTGAGTGCTTGTGGTTTTGCAAATGAGAAGAGACAGCAGAAGCACTGTTTACTGGGCAGTGACAGAGAGCCACAAAGGCAAAGATGAGACATGCCAGTTCATCTCTACTCTTCAAGCACTCAGTTTTGCCCCTTCAAATTCTCCCTCCTTATCAGTGTCCTTTTTTCTTTCTTATTTCTTTGGGGTTTTTTGTTGTTTTGTTTTAGACAGGGTCTCGCTCTGTAATTCAGGCTGACCTTGAATTAACTATGTAGCTTAGGCTGGCCTGGAACACTGAGTGCTGGGATGGCAAGTGTGTACCCCATGGCTGGCTTCTTTCTTTTTGAAAAAGACAGGATGATTATACATATTTCGGTGGGAAAGTGTGACAGTTTAATTAATGTATGACTGTTATGATTAGGTCAGTGTAACTTGAATACCCACCACCTCTGACTTTCATCATTTTTTGGAAACATTTATTATACTATTAGCTACCTTGAAATATTCCATTAGTGGCTGTCAACCAGTTACCCTGCTGTGCTACAGAATGTAAGAAATTATTCTTACCTGGGGATTTAGTTCAGTGGTTCCACTGCCTGCCTCGCAAGCTCAAGGACCCAAGTTCGATCCCCGGTACCAAAAAAAAGAAATTATTCTTCAAACCCCACTGTGCCCCCTGCCCTTTAACCACCCTCCCTCCACTGGAAACCTCTGTTTTTCTAAGCTCCCTCGGCCAGGTCCTTGAGTGGTTGTTTCCATGCCTTCTCCCTTTTCAAGGTCTTGGGTGGTGTTGGGATAGGACCCCTATTGTTCCAGTAAACCTTGTCAACTGCTTCTAGGCAAAGTGCAGTGAGGGGCAGGGGATTTACCTCAGTGGCACCACACATGCCTTGCAAGCCCAAATTCCTGAGTTTGGTCCCTGTAGCATGTGGGCATGCATACATGCGTGCGCACACACACACAGTGCAGTGAGGCAAGGGAGCAGAGCATGGTATCTAAAAGGCTATCAGAAGTTCTGCATTAAAGTGAGGGCAGTAAAAGAAGAGCAGACTACAATTCTTTAGCCTCTAGGTTACACTCTGGCCTGATGCTCAGAAAAACTGCTTTCAAGAATGGTGCTTTTAGGGGCTGGGGGTTTAGCTTAGTGGTGCGCAAGTGCAAGGGCCCGAGTTCGATCCCCGGTTGGGGGGGGGGCGAAATGTTGCTTTTTTTTTTTTTGGTACCAGGGATGGAACTCAGGACCTTAAAGTTTCGAGGCAGGCACTGGAACCACTGAGCTAAATCCCCGGCCCCAAGAATGCTGCTTTTGAAAAGAAAAAAAAAAAAAGGAAATGAAATGTATGTAAATAGGGAAGAGTGGAGTGGGTGAAAGGTGCACAGGTAATGGGGAAAAAAATAAGAACCCAGATACATCATGTACAGGTACAAGCACCCAATGATAAATATAAACGTATTGTATACCTAAAATGTACCAATAAAATAATTTAAGGAAAAAAGAAAAGAATGCTGCTTCTGAGGAAGCCCAGGGGAAAGAGCAAGTGTTGGAGGTTGGCAGCTCAGTTCCAAGCCAAAGGATGAAACCCTGGGTGTTTAAAAGCAGCTGGGGAGATACCAGAAAGGCCTTCAGATAAGCCCTAAAGGTCCTTTTCTCTCCCAAAGGCACTGAAACATCCTCTTTGTTGGATGCACCTGTCAGCATTTCCCAGTCAGGGTGAGGACAGCAGTTGTGAAGTTGGGAGAATTTACCACCATTCCTCAAAGATGGGTTTTTGGGAGGCCTCAGCTGCAATATTGAAGGAGTCCAGGGCCAGGGATTTAGCTCAGTGGTGCCGGCGTCTGCCTCATAAGCGCAAGGTCCAGAGTTCAATCCCCGGTACCAAAAAAAAAAAAAAATCAAATAAAACAACAAAAAATGTTTGGGCTGGGGATTTAGCTCAGTGGTTTTGCCACCTGCTGCGCAAGCGCAAAGACCTGAGTTCGATCCCCGTTACCAAAAAAAAAAATATTGAAGGAGTCCAAGGGGATGGGCCATGGTAAGGTTTTTTTTGGGGGGTGTACCGGGGATTAGTCAGGACCTTGCACTTTTGAGGCGAGCATGGTGCCCCTGAGCTAAATCCCGGGCCCATGCACTTCTCAGGTACCAGAGATTGAACTCAGGACCTTGTGTATTTTGGGGCGCCAGGGATTGAACTCAGTACCTCGTGCTTGCGAGGCAGGCTCAGTGCCACTGAGCATCCCTGGTGGTGAGGTACCTTTTCGATTTTTTTTGAGAGACAGGATCTCAGTAATTAGCCCAAGCTGGGTCAGACATGAGGTCCTCCCGTTTTAAACCTTCTGGGTACTGGGATCACGTTTGTCTTGATGCCCAAGGTATCGTTGACCTGGGGCCTAGACCTTTACTGAAGTTTAGAAGCATCAAGTCTGGGTACCGTCCAGGACAACTCACAAAAGTTTCAAATCACCAAACTGCAAAAATATCCACTCATGTGGATAGGAGTAAGGTTAAAAAGCTGAGATTGTGTTAAGGATCATGGCAAGCTGCCTTTAAAGGCCCGTAATGCATCCATGTTCTAGTATGTCAGAATTTCCTTTTAAAAGCTGAACATGTTACTTTTTTTTTGGTACCGGGGATTGAACTGGGGTCCTTGTGCTTGCGTAGCAGGCAGCGAAACCACTGAGCTAAATCCTCAATCCCATTTGTTACTTTTTGAAGTGTAATTTTATACTAACCACAAAACTTCAACTCCTGTTTTTTTTTGGTACCGGGGATCAAACTCAGGTCCTTGTGCTTGCGAGGCAAACAGTGGAACCAGTGAACTAAATCCCTGGCTCTCAACTCTTATATTCTTTGGTAATGATTTCACGTGTACATCCTGAAAAAATTACTTGTAGATTGGTTGACAAGACACTTACCATGCCATTTATTGCAGTCTTGCTTTTATCATAAACAATTAGAAACACTGTAAATATCCACCAGCAAGGTGATGGGTAAAGTATGGTATATCCATACTATGAAGTAGACTGTGCAGTAGTTGAAAAAGAATGAGGTTGAGCTGGGGATTTAGCTCAGTGCTTCTGGGGCCTGTCTTGCAAGCACAAGTTACCAAGTTCGGTCCTCAGTACCAAAAAAAAAAATGAGGTCCATCTAGCACACCTGTAATCCCAGCAGTCTGGGAGCCTGAAGCAGAAGGATCCCAAAACCAACTTCAAGAAAAATAAGGGGAGAAGACTGGGGTTCAACCCCCAGTAACCACAGAAAACCCAACTACATGAAGTGCACTTGTTATGACATTTTATCTCCCTACCATCACCATGAGAAAACCCAGACTTTCCCCACTTTTTTTCCCCCCTTCCATGCTCTCTGCACATTACATTCATAGAATGGGCATATGCTACTCACGCATTTAATCCTAGTTCTCAGATTGCCATCATTTTGAGGCTAGTCTGGGCTCCATGGTGCATTTAAGGCCAGCCTGAAACAGTGAGACCCCCGTCTCAAAAAAACCCCCAAGGGCTGGGGGTTTAGCTCAACAGTGCTTCCACAGCCTCCCTCACAAGCACAAGGTCCCAAGTTCCATCCCTGGTACCAAAAAAAAAAAAGAACAAATTGAGAATTATGGGTATAGCTGTAGCAGAGCACTTTTGGCACACACAAAACAAGAAAACTTACATCAAGTTGCCTTAGATCTGAATATTTTATCATTTTAACTTGTGTGCTTCCCAATCTCTTCACCCAGCCTTCTTTCAAAAGGGACAGGGTTAAGGTTCTATTTTACTACCTACTAGAAACAGATAGACATTCCCAGAAGACTAAAAAGCAGTTTCAACTCAAAGTTCAGCTTGTCTATTTCTAAAAGACTCATTTTATTCCCTTTATCTTAAAAAAATCTGCATATTCTATTCATTTTTAATCAGTTGCACTTTGAACAGGCTATTGTAAACAATAAGTTCCCAGAACTCAACCAGACTTAGGTATATAGCCAGGTAACAATTTTCGGCAGATTACCTATCTCAAAGTCACATGCTTGCCTTGACAACGTTTTTTTTTTTTTTGGTATCAGGGATTGAAGTCAGGTCCTTGCGCTTGCGCAGCAGGCGGCGAAACCACTGAGCTAAATCCCCAGCCCCTTGACACCATTTTATTAAGTTTCCATTACTCTCCCCACAGTTTCACAATAGACACATTACCATGCAACAAAACCTTTATTAACATTTTGAACAGGTTCAGCTATTAATGAAACTGGTAATTTCTAAATTGGGGCCAATGGCTATAATGCAGACTACTGCCATCACTGGGCACCGAAAAACTAACAGCCACCCCTCAGACGGAGGACAAGGTGCAGAGTGGACTCCTTCTGGATATTGTAGTCAGAAAGAGTGCGGCCATCTTCCAGCTGCTTCCCTGCAAAGATGAGCCTCTGCTGGTCAGGAGGGATGCCTTCTTTATCCTGGATCTTGGCCTTCACATTCTCAATGGTATCACTAGGCTCCACCTCCAGGGTGATGGTCTTGCCAGTCAGGGTCTTCACAAAGATCTGCATCCCACCTCTCAGGCGCAGGACCAGGTGCAGAGTGGACTCTTTCTGGATATTGTAATCAGAAAGAGTGCGGCCATCTTCAAGCTGCTTGCCTGCAAAGATGAGCCTCTGCTGGTCGGGAGGGATGCCTTCTTTATCCTGGATCTTGGCCTTTACATTCTCAATGGTATCACTGGGTTCCACTTCCAGGGTGATGGTCTTGCCAGTCAGGGTCTTCACAAAGATCTGCATTCCACCTCTCAGGCGAAGGACCAGGTGCAGAGTAGACTCTTTCTGGATGTTGTAGTCAGAAAGAGTGCGGCCATCTTCAAGCTGTTTGCCTGCAAAGATGAGCCTCTGCTGGTCAGGAGGGATGCCTTCTTTATCCTGGATCTTGGCCTTCACATTCTCAATGGTATCACTGGGTTCCACTTCTAGGGTGATGGTCTTGCCAGTCAGGGTCTTCACGAAAATTTGCATTTTGACCTGTAATTAAAATGACAAGTACCGTTATTCTCTTAAAATGCTTTAAAACACATCTCTAAGTTCCTCCGATTTCCACTATACACACAGGATTTAAATTTAACATCTAAAAAATCTTAAATCCTTTCTAATCTAGTATAGTTCAGGATGTTTATTTTTTCTAGTACCACACTTGCCAGGCAGGTGCTGTACAGCTGAGCTACATCTCCAGCCCTCCACCCTGCATTAATTTCTCCAAATCTAAGCCTGATGATAAAACAAAACCAAACGCACAAGACTTAGAACACAAAAATTCCCACTGAAAGAGATGAAATCGTTCCCTAAAATGAGTCACTATTAGAGATTTCCACAGATCACAGAAAACTCTCTCCGGCATTACCCCGCTTAAGTGAACCAGATGGAAACTCCATCAGTTAAGAGTCCGTTAGTCTCTAACCGCGCAGACCGGCTGGGCCGCCCCCCCCCCCCCCCCCCCGCCGCAAACAAGGCCCACTGTTCAGTAAAGTGCGTCACGTCACATTGCCCTCTCCCTCCCCCACTCTATCCCCTCGAGGCTCACCCAGCCCCAAGAAACCACCTCCTGAACCTCACTTAAGCCTCTTCTCCACTCTCTCCAGATCCTCAATGCCACAGCTCATACCTGTTATCGAGTGCAAAGACTCAGCAACGCAAATTGCCAGAAAAGCAGAGGAACACCAACAGCTTACTCGACAAAGCCACTCGTCACAACACCGCGAGTAGGCGGCCTGCAATTTATACAACGTCTGTTGCGTTACTTAGCACTTCTACGTAGCCGCGGTCTCCGTGCGCCGCTGAAAGTAGTTCACTCGGCTCCACCTCTCAGGACTTAGTTAGGTTTTTCAACTGACCCTCAACTCCTCACAGCCGAAACAGAGGATCCTAAAAGATTACATCCCTTCTCCTCCAGGCGTCCCATCTCTTCCTTTACAATAAAATGGAAAAATTACCGGGCGGATGAATCTGAGTTTAAGGAACCTTTCTCGAAATGTCTGGAAACTTCTTTGCGGCGCCGGCGCTGATTGGTGAGGCGTGTGCAGGTGAGGCAGGCGCTGAGTGGTGAGAGACTTGGCGGCTCCACTGTTGCTGGGCGGTGTTTTAGTGCTGTTGTTGCTGAGTAACTGACTGCGCGTGCGCCTCGTAGGCAGGCAGGCGAGAAGGATGAGTATTTCCGGCCGGAGGTGGAGGAGGGGGTCTTTCGTTCCCGCCTTCAGAACCCAATTTCTCAAAGTTCGGCGTTTTCTGGCCTTAGGCGAGAAAGTAGCCGGTTCCGCAGCGAATTCCTGCGGACCTATTTACAGGTGCAGAGGAGTTTGTCGATGTAGCCTGCAGTTGTTTTTTCCCCCAGTGTTAGCTGTGAGGCATAGCCCCCCTCCCCTTGTCTTAATAACGTGTGCCTCTCAAGTTTTTACTCTGGGTTATTGGAGGGTGTAGAATTTTAGTCACGCTTTTGTAGTCAGAATGCTTTAGCTGCTTTGTCTTACTGAACCCTCTTAACAGTCAGAGGACCGTCTAAATTCAGACTGTAGCTAGCTGGGCCCTCCGCGGGGACCTGGTGCCCTTGGGGAGGCTCCTCTGGAAAAGAGCGGCTCGGGCTCAAGGTGATGTGCTGGCTGGGCTTAGATCTGGCTCCGACAGTACCTACAAACTCTTCTTTCTCGTTGGTGTTTCTCCTAACGCTGGTGGGTAAAAGGAGAAATGTACGAAGGCAAAAAGCCGGTTCAAGAGATGAGCAATTTACCTACAACAGAATAACTACTATTCCCCCCACTCAGGTGCTTATTGTGCAAGCAAACCAAAAGTGTTAAAAGTGTTAAGCCGCTAGGACCACGCGATTGGTTTCCCTGCACCCTGGGCGTGGCTGTTTGGCCTGCAGGCAGATAATTTAGCTACGTGATACTGGGGTGTTTGGATCCGATCATGATTTTACGTGAAGTCACGGGGGTGGAGAATATGAATAAATAAAGAGCAAAATGTCTGGGGTTTTTTCATGTGATAACTTTCGAAATTAACATTAACAGCTTTGGTAGATTTCACTTAGAAAATATGACTAATTAAATTTTAACACTGAGCATATCAATAATTTGTGAATAAACACCTGGTTAACATCTAGATAGCTTTAATAACGATCTCTTGTCTACTGACAAGTAAATTGAAAGTTTCTCTAAGATAAATAAATCTAAATGACTTGGAGATAGTTTATAAACTTTTTTAAATGCTTTACAAGGGGCTGATTAATTTTTCATGAAGGTGAAGTGATTTTTCATTTTGTTAGCCTCAGTGTGGTCTTGTTTCACCAACCGGGCACTCCTTCTGAGTCATGCATGCTGCTCCGTAGATTGAGCTAGAATGCAGATCTCATGACTAATGTAGTGACATCACTGGGGCAGTTGCCAGAACTAAGTCATATTGATTACTGGTTTAATGTTTTGCCAAAGTAGGTCATTTGGTAACCTCCACACAACAGAATGTTTTCAAAAGGAAAATACTGACCCATACAATAAACAAGATGCTTTTTTTATATTTATAATACAATTTTTAGTAATAACATCATTTCTGGTAACAAACCGTAATATGTAACCAAAAATAGAACAATGAAATTCTTAAGATCAGGAATTTGGTAATCCAGTACAGTATTTGGCAGTGTGCTCCGTAAATGCTCAATGAATAAAATGCAGGGTTTTTTTTTTTTTTGGTACCGGGGATTGAACTTGGGTCCTTGCACTTGCGCAGCAGGCAGCAGAACCACTGAGCTAAATCCCTGGCCCTAAAATGAAGTTTTCCCTTTTGTTGAGCTGAAAAAAGTTGTGACAGCCTTAGGCATTAAAACACAAAGCAAAAAGAGATAATGTTTTAAATCTCCACAGGCAAATGGTTTTGGCTCCCTGTACATCTGAACAACAATCCTATCTGAGCTCTATTCCGATCGTTTGAAACTGAGGAGTTTTACTTGGCTCTTTTTTTTTTTTTGAGACACAAGGTGTTGCTATGTAGTTCAGGCTGGTCTTGAACTCACTGTGTACTCCAGGCTGTCCTCAAATTTATAGTGATCCTCCTGCCTCAGCTTCCCAAGTGCTGGGATTACATGCATGCACCACTGCACCCGGCTATATATAGTATAATTTTTTTTTTTTTTGGTACCGGGGATTGAACTCGGGTCCTTGTGCTTGCGTAGCAGGCGGCAAAACCACTGAGCTAAATCCCCAGCCCTATAGTATAATTCTTTTAAAAAAACAGTAAGTAGGGCCGGGGATTTAGCTCAGTGGTACAAGTGCCTGCCTCGCAAGCGCAAGGTCCCAAGTTCGATCCCTGGTACCAAAAAAAATAAAATAAAAAACAGTAAGTTTTCACACAATTTTGAATAAAAAAATTTGTATCTGTTTATCTTAGAGAAGATACTAAAGGCAGGAGTAAGAGGAGTACACAGAAATGCCTACCGTAAGGTGAAAATGATTACACTTGTGTTAAGTGTTGAGTGCTCATTTTTAGCATGCATTTCTTTTTTTGAGACAGTCTCACAGTGCAGTTCAGGCTGGTCTCGAACTCACTATATAGCCCAGGCTGGCCTCAACTCAGCGATCCTCCAGCCTCCCAAGTGCTGGGATCACAGGGGTGCACCACCAGGACCAGCTTATATTCTGCTATTTTTAAATTCATTTTTTTACCTAGAAAGCCAAGCCTGTTGGAGTTTCTTTTTAGGGTGATATAGTCCATTTATTTACTTTTTACACCAGAAGCCTTGTGAAGTCAGATTCTGTTTCATTCATGGGTGTCCAGAGCATTACCCAGAACAGAGTAGGCATTCAATTATGCTGGCTACCAGCTGTGAGAGGCTGCAGAGTACTCTGCAGCTGTGCCTGTGCACCCTGGGCTGCACTGGAAGGGGGATGCAGGCCCATTGATAGCCCAGGGTGTTCTGTACTAAATTGTTAATTTGTATCAAAAGTTAGACTTTAGTACAACAAATAAAGGTCAATTTCTGTAAAAACAAACAAAAAAACCAAATATGCTAGCTCCTTAACATACGTCCTCCCAGACCAGCCAACACTGTGCCTGGAGAAGATCTCCAACCCACAGATTTTTCCCTCAGAGGACATCATGGGGGAGCAGTGATCTTTTTTAGTGAGAAGTCAGCATCTTACTCCACGGAGACATTGGCTCTGGCCCCAGTAGCTATGGCCCTTCTCTAGCTCACTGGGAAGTGTTGCTGTGCTTCCCCAGCCTCCTCAGGTATAAAAAGAAAAGTGAAAACAGGATGGATATTTTAGGGGTGCCGTGGTGGGCTTTAAAGCACTCTGTCCATATGGATGGGGGCATAAAAACTCTTGGAGACCAATTAATTGAATGAATTATTGTGGGGTACAACAGCAAGACTGAGGGCAAGCTCTCAGAGTGTAAAAGGCCCATCTGCCCGGTTGATCCTAGAATAAAAAAACACAGAAGGACAATGTATTTCCAGAGGAAAAATAAATTTTACTGTTGTGAGGCTTTTGTTGTTTTCTAAATGAGACCAAACATTCATAGACATTGATTGAGGACTGAAATCTGAAAAGGTTATAGCCCTGAAGGGTACCAGAACATGCCACTCTGAAAAATGACTTGAACTAAAGGCCATTGAGAACCAGAAAACTGGGAAAAGCTCTAAAAACTGTACAAGTTCTCTGTAAAAGAAATTTATCTTTATAAGAGAAATCGACTTTTGCAAAAGTTGTGTTCCTCTCCAGTACCAGGAAGAGTAGTGCTTATGATAAGCACCAGCCAAATATTTCTAAGGCTTCAGGCAGCTACCATTACCTGTACTAACTCCAAAGTCTGTACAAGGTCTTTAGGTCTTTATAGAAACCCCTCCATGTTTTTCTGGTCATGCTTGTTTTCATTCATTTAGCACATTTACAAAGCACCTACTTACTACCTTTCAGGTACAGTTTAAGGCCCTGAGGACATAACAGTAAACAAGACAGAATTTCTGGTTCCTGGAGTTGACTTTCTAGTAAGGGAGGCAGAAAAAAAAAATCAAGTACTGTACGTATCAATATGTTAGATGCTATGGGAGGTATAAAGCAGTTGTTCCTTACCTCCTACTGTGTGACCCAGCTCCTAATGGGCCACAGACCAGTACCAGTCCGTGGCCCTGGGATTGGAGACCCCTGATATAACAAAAAACCTTAACAATCAGCAGCATGAAGCTCCTCGGCTGTGTTCCCGTTCCTGCCCACGGCACAGTGAGGTCCTGGGAGTGGCTTGGAGCCCCGCCTTCATCCAGTGCCTGCAAGGCCCAATTCCGTCGTCCCCACACCTTCTGGCTCTTCTGTTACCTGGTCCCACACTACAGAGGCACAGGGGATTATGCTTCACATAGTTAAATGTGATAGATTAATAACTACCACAAATTGTCATTTTTTAAACTGCGCTTGATGCTATGGTATTGCTGATTGTAACATTT